GATTAGAATTTGTTTTTCTCTATTTAGACGATATACTCATCGCATCCAGTACCCATGAAGAACACGAAAATCACCTTAAATTAGTTTTCAAAAGATTACATACATTTGGGTTAAGAATTAATGTTTCAAAATCTGTATTTGCTGTTCCACAAATCGAGTTTCTAGGCTATCTAATTACACCTAAGGGTTCCCGTCCTTTGCCAGAAAGAGTTCAAGCTATTACTAACTACAAACGACCAGAAACAATTCATGAACTTAGATCTTTTCTTGGAATACTTAACTTTTATCGTCGTTATATAAAGGATGCAGCGAAGAATCAAGCATTGTTACATGTGTATCTTAAGGGAGCTAAAAAGAGGGACAAACGTAAAATCAAATGGACTGAAGAAGCTGAAAAACAGTTTGAAAAGTGCAAGAATGACCTGGTGAACACGGCACTGTTGTCTTTTCCTAATTCTGAACTACCTCTGGCGTTATTTACAGATGCTTCAGATACGGCGATTGGCTCAGTGTTGCAACAATATGAAAACTCCTCGTGGAAGCCAATAGCACTTTTTTTCTAAAAAATTAAATGATACTCAGCAAAAGTATAGCACTTATGATAAGAGAACTATTAAGCATATATCTTTCAGTTAGACACTTTAAGCATTATCTCGAAGGAAAAGTATTTACAATTTATACAGATCACAAGCCCTTAATATTCGCCTTTCGTCAAAAACTTGACAAAGCGGCACCTAGACAGGCTCGCCAACTTCAATACATCTCCCAGTTTTCGAGTGATATCAAATATGTAAAAGGTGAGAATAATATTGTGGCGGATACATTATCTAGAGTTAATGAAATTTCATCGATAGATTATGATAAAATAGCTGATGAACCACTCATCAGCTACTATGAGTGGTCTCATAGGACCACTTCCACCAACTAAAGGGAATATTTATTGTCTTACTTGCATAGATAGATTTTCGAATTGGATGGAAGCAATTCCTTTAGAAAATATTTCCGCTGAGAATGTCGCAAGAGCCTTTTATAGCAACTGGATTGCGCGTTTCGGAACGCCAAGTAAACTCATTAGTGATCGTGGATCCCAATTTAAAAGTGATACACTACGAGCTTTGTCCAAAATCTGTGGCATTAATTTACACAGGGTTCATAGCCACATTTTAGTTAAAAAAATAAGCACCTATAAGCACTTTTCAAGCACATTTTAAGAAAAAAATAAGCATTATACACAACTGCATAACCTGTCTAATTACATTATACACAACTGCATAACCTTAAAAGAAAAATTAGACTTGTAATTTAAAATATGAGCAATGCAATATTTATTAAGAGAATGAGCATTACCTCAACAATGGAAAACAATTAACTTTTTTTTTTTTAATTTTAAATGACAGTTCAATTTACAGAATTAATTTATAATGAGAGGGAAAAAAAAAAAAAAACTATGCAGAACTTAACTATATTACAAAATTTAATGATGATATTTCAGTTGAAAATATAGAAAATAAATAATAATAAGCCAGATTAATTGTATTCGTTTGGCACCTAATAATAAATACAATTTATTTTCCACTCATATTAATATTTAAATAATTTAACTTAAATCAAAATTCTGAACATTGTCTAAATTTTCAACTGCATAACAATTTTCCCCTAACATATATCCCAAGCAAAGTAATTAAGTAAAAAAGAGGCCCACTTTCTGAAATCAGAAGACGGGAATTGCTTCATTCAGTCATCCTTTAACAGTAAAAGCTTAACTAACCAGCATACTCGGAAATTCCCGAATTTCCAGATAGTAACTGGAAAAGAGGAGTGGGGGAGATTGTAGCCGTTCTTTAGATTTAAATTTAGGCTAAATAAATTATTTTGATATTTCGATATGTGCATCATATAAAAACCAACGGAACTGAGAAATATTCTGCTTAGAACGCACAGTAAAACTCTTTTAAGTGTTCATAAACAAATCTCAGACTGACCATCCAAATTAATTACCAATGCAAAATACCGCAAACGTTATTGCGCAATACGTGCAGCGTGATTCTTCCATATGTGATATTACGCAATCGGAATCAACACCTGCCGGTATTCGGAGAAAGAACTAATAAAGGAAAAGAAAGAGACTTACTAATCTGGGGTGTTTCTAATTTTTATTTTCAACAGACTGTATTAAATTTCCGGAATAGAATCAATCTTCGCTTGGGTTGGGTAGACCACAAAAACTTTTAGTCCTATTCAATCCAGATTGGACAGTGACAAAAAAAAAAAAAAAAAAAAAAAAAAAAAAAAAAAAAAAAAAGTCCGCTGCTTTTGCGGAGAAACTCCCAACCTCTGTACTGTATAATGTACTGGCAAAGAAAATGAAATTATTTTGACTATTCGATTACTTTCCTTTTATTTAAGCCATTCCGAATATCATTCCTTAGAAAGCTAATCTGTGTAAAAACACACCCATTTTTGGAAGTTTATCTATACTTCAGCAGTTACTGCAATTATATTATTATAAATATTCATACATATGCTCATAATATAAGCATAACAATCATAATAAACACGAATATGAACTGACCACGCGGAACAAGAATGCAAATTTATTAAAATCTTGACAGAAATTCAAACGTGTGTAGTATTTGGGTGGGAGGAAAAGAATACCGAATGTACCGGAATTTTCTACGTTTTCGCAATTCTTTGGCCAATAGAACGACGTGCACCTGTCTGTACTCTCGCACGCACCATAGGTTACGTTAATGCAGAATAAAGGGGGGGGAAAGCAATTTTCGGGAGTATGATTCACCATCTGACGTTGCATATAAGGAAGAAAAGTTGTTTATTTAGTTTCGGCTTTGGTACGGGGAAAAAATGCGCGTTCATTAAAAACAAAGGATTAAAAAAAAAAGCACTAAAAGCAAAAAATAAGCACTAAAAAAAAAAAAAAAAAAAAATAAGGGCTTTAAAGAAAAAGTAAGCACCTATAAGGGCCTTTATATTTTATTTTCAAAATATAAGAACTTATAAGCACTTGTAAGGACCGCTACGAACCCTGTTACAACACACTACTGAATACCACCCCTCATGTAATGGCAAAGTTGAGCGCCTTCATCGAACATTAAAAACAGCATTAAAAGCCCACAACAGCATATCTTGGTCAGACACGTGACCAACAGTACTTTTGGGTTTGCATACTGCTATTCAAGAAGACACAAATCATTCTATTGCGCAAGTAGTTTATGGCCAGAGTCTCAGACTTCCTGGAGAGTTTTTCAGCGAACCAAGTATCCAGACAGCATCGGAGACTTTTGCTAATAAACTCCAGAAACAGATGGAAGTTGTTGGACCGAGACTAATTCGTAAAAATTCATTTGAACGTAAAGACATAAAGACTTAAAAACTTGTTCTCATGTGTTTCAGCAAATAGATCGGGTAAAAAAAACCTCTGGAACCTCCTTATGAAGGACCATTTCCTGTTATTGATCGCAAGGACAAATATTTTACTATTAGCATAAAAGGAAAACATGTTAATGTATCCCTGGATCGCTTGAAACCAGCATATATTTTAACTGAGGAAAATTTTCAGTTGATACAACCTGACTACAGTAACTCGCAGAGACCGGACTCAAATTCCGATGTGAATCAAAAACATTCTCGCACAGGCAGAACTATATGTTTACCTGTTAGATTCAAGGACTGACTCTAAATCCTTCTGATAGTGGTTAACAATGCAATGCTTGTTACTACCTATTTCTCCATCTTCGTAACGTAACTTAGTTACTGGTGGGGGAGTAGTGTAGTGGCCCAGTTATTGCATGAGAAATAATTATTTTTTATTTCATATATTTGTTCATGTGTAAGGTATCTGCCTATGCTAGGAGCACTTTTTTTTAAAAACATAGAATTCTGATGAAATATATATTTATTTAGTCAAAATTTGATATCAAATCATGAAAATAGGTAAATTTTTAGGAATATTTTTATAAATTTTTGAAATATATGCAATTTTATGCAAATTTTTAGGAGAATTTAATGCTTACGTTAAATGTCGTATATTTTTTCTCACAGCATATATTTCAATTTATTATAACTGTATACTACTACAACACCTTATCTGTGTTATGAACTAAAATGTTATGATATTTCTAAAATTTACTAAAATTGTGTAATTACATGAAAAACACAGTTTTTTGTAAAATATTTCTTATCGTTTTATATAGAAATACTTATAAAACAATCAAATTAATAAATATTACTTAGATTGTAGCTTAAAACCTAATAAATAATGTAGAAAACATTTTAGTGAAATTTAATAGAGATACCTTTAGAACATTTTGAGTAATTACATTTCTTGTATGTAAAAACACTAGAAAAATTAGTTTAAATTTAAACAAATTTAAATTCTTAACAAATACGTATAAAAGTAAAAAAGCAAATTTAAATTCTAAAAAAAGGAAAAAAGCCAAAATAATTTAAAATAATTTTTTTCAGAAAACGCATTTAAAGATTTCACATTAACAGAAAAACTGTTCTGTTGTACTTACACACTTAAAATTCTCCACATTTGTACATCACACCCTCCATATCTTTATGGGTAAGTAATTTTGATTTCATATTTGATTTTAATTTTTTTCTGGCTATTTTCGAAATGAGCGACGAATGAATTTTCGAGTTCTTTGTTCTTTCGTTATCAATTCCAAAGTAATTTTTAATCATTTCTTGTTCAATTGATATGCCTAAATGTTCAAACACAGGAAGTAATCCAAGATACCCTGAATTAAAAATTAAAACGGCTATATATGCACCCAGCAACATAGTCTTTATACCTAATCGCAATGTTGCCAAACCCAGTTAAAAAAACCGCAATGTTGCCAGTCCAGTTCAAAGAATTAAGGCAAATAATTATTGCCAGAAACAAAAAAAAAAGTACCCAGAATTAAAATGAAATGTTTTAGCACAATTTTACACACAAACAGGTAAAAAAAAACACGGATAACAACATTGTTTACCTTTAAGTTGAGCCTTTTAAATGGCACTTCCAGTCTTTCTGCTTTCACTTCCAGTGCAGTTAATTGGCTATACCTTCTCTTCTAATTATCACAAACGTAAAAATGAACCATTTTCAGAATCCTACAAAACTGACTTTTCAAATTGGGCAATAAAAAAAATCTAATTTTTTTGCCGAAATCTTTTTTTTTTTAACGTAGGCAGATACCTTTTATTTTATAAAATTAACTTTAATATTTTGTTAATATTCATATTTATATTTCTTTTATGCTGAATGGCAATAAGTAGTTGATATTTATATTTAAATTTCTTTATGCTGAATGACAACTAGTTCTAGTTCTGATTCATGATTGCTAGGTTTTGGTTTCAAAACGTTGCTCGTAGCGTCGTATTTCGATAGCTGAAAAGTAAAATGCAATAAACTTAGCTATTTGTTTATAATTCATGCTGTACCTAATCATAAATTAATTTTGAACATTAGTAGCAAAGGCCACATCCTGGTGATCCTGATTAATTTTCGAATGTCAACAATGACTCTTCTGAAACTGCTATGAAAGATATGAATACAATCACCAGCTTCATAAGGTGGAGTGTACAAATACATCCTTTTTGGACTGATAAACCGCAAATATGGTTTTTTCAAGTTGAAGCTCAGTTCAGAATTAGTAATATCGTTTCAGAAGAAACGAAATTTAATTATTTAGTTTCACAGCTTGAACCTAAGTTCGTCGAAAATATTGGGACATTGTAAACGAACGAGAGTGCCACAAAATTTCGGATGCTAAAATTAGTTATTACATTTATTCAAAAGAAAGTGAAAATGTACGGATTAAACGTTTGATTACTGGTATCGAGCTTGGAGACATGAAACCAAGCCAACTTCTGCAGAAGCTGAGATCAGTTGCTATTACAGATGTGTCTGAAAATCTAATCAAAACATTATGGCAGGAGAAGCTACCTGACTCAATAAGAAATATATTATTAGTTAGTGATGAAACCAAGCTAACGTCTATGGCAGATAAAATTAGTGATATGAATCGGAAACAAGAAGTATTTAGTGCTAATGCCATTTACGTTCGGGTAAATGATTTGTTGCAAAACATTACCTCTCTTGAACAAAAATTTGATCAAATAACCATTCACTCAAGACGCAGGGACTCGGATTTACGTAATTCACGTTCACGATCTCGCTGCCAATCTCGTAAACGACATGATCCTACTAGGTAAATTTTGTTTCTATCACTTTCGATATGGAGCAAAATGTATTCCAGAGAAATGCCGAACTCCGTTTACTTGGGTAAACAAGAATTCCCAAAACCAGGAAAACTCGAATCTGCAGTAGGTTCCAGCGGCAAACGCTTCTGCAGAAAATATGAAGAATTGTCGCAAAATTTCGTTCATGACTGAAGATCAAATTTGTACTTTCTTATTGATAGCGGAGCTGACATAAGCATAATTCCTGCTACTTCACAGAATAAATGTAAAATTGAATACAAACTGTATGCAGCTAATGGCACAGATATTTTCACTTACGGCATAAAAACGCTAACTCTTGATTTGGGATTATGTCGTGATTTTCAGTTTCCATTCATAATTGCTGATGTCACAAAAGGTATTTTAGGAGCTGACTTTCTTCACAAATATAAATTGCTTATCGATGTAAATAAGAAAAAATTAATTAATGGCGTAACACAGCTTTGTGTCCAGTGTGATGTCGCTGCTATTTCCACTGATTATGCAGTAACCACATTAAATAAATCCATAAAAATTTTCGATTTACTGTCGAAATATCCTGAAATTTTTAAACCTAACCTTTTTCCTACACAAATTAAACATGGTGTTACACATTTTATTACGACTGATGGTCAACCCGGTTTATTCAAAGGCACGACAGCTCGATCCAAAACGCTTAGCTATAGCTAAAGAGGAATTTAAATTATGCTTGACAATGGAATAATTCGTCAATCAAACTCCCAGTGGTCAAGCCCCTTGCACCTTGTTACGAAAAAGGATGGCTCATATCGTCCTTGCGGAGACTACTGACGATTGAATACGCAGACAATACCTGATCGATACCCAGTTCCTCGCATTGAAGATTTTCATCATATTTTAAGAGGTACAAATATTTTTTCTAAAATTGGTTTATTCAAAGCTTATTTTCAAATTCCCATTGCAGAAGAAGATAAATGTAAAACGGCTATCATCACTCCTTTCGGTTTATACGAATTTAATGTAATGAGTTTCAGTTTAAAAAATGCTCCTGCAACGTTCCAAAGATTTATTCACGAAGTCTTTAGAGGATTAGAATTTGTTTTTCTCTATTTAGACGATATACTCATCGCATCCAGTACCCATGAAGAACACGAAAATCACCTTAAATTAGTTTTCGAAAGATTACATACATTGGGTTAAGAATTAATGTTTCAAAATCTGTATTTGCTGTTCCCAAATCGAGTTTCTAGGCTATCCTAATTACACCTAAGGGTTCCTGTCCTTTGCGAGAAAGAGTTCAAGCTATTATTAACTACAAACAACCAGAAACAATTCATGAACTTAGAACTTTTCTTGGAATACTTAACTTTTATCGTCGTTACATAAAAGGATGCAACGGAGAATAAAGCATTGTTACATGCGTATCTTAAGGGAGCTAAAAAGAGGGACAAATGAAAAATGAAATGGACTGAAGAAGCTGAAAAACAGTTTGCAAAAGTGCAAGAATGACCTGGTGAACACAGCACTGTTGTGTTTTCCTAAATTTGAACTACCTCGGGCGTTATTTACAGATGCTTCAGATACAGGCGATTCGCTCAGTGTTGCAACAATATGAAAACTCCTCGTGGGAAACCAATAGCATTTTTTTCTAAAAAATTATAATGATACTCAGCAAAAATATATGCACTTCATAGATTCTCTATCATAGGTGCATATATCTTTCAGTTAGACACTTTAAGCATTATCTAGAAGGAAAAGTATTACAATTTATACAGATCACAAGCCCTTAATATTCGCCTTTCGTCAAAAACTTGACAAAGCGGCACCTAGACAGGCTCACCAACTTCAATACATCTCCAGTTTTCGAGTGATATCAAATATGTAAAAGGTGAGAATAATATTGTGGCGGATACATTATCTAGAGTTAATGAAATTTCATCGATAGATATGATAAAATAGCTGATGAACCACTCATCAGCTACTATGAGTGGTCTCATAGGACCCTTCCACCAACTAAGGGAATATTTATTGTCTTACTTGCATAGATAGATTTTCGAATTGGATGGAAGCAATTCCTTTAGAAAATATTTCCGCTGAGAATGTCGCAAGAGCCTTTTATAGCAACTGGATTGCGCGTTTCGGAACGCCAAGTAAACTCATTAGTGATCGTGGATCCCAATTTAAAAGTGATACACTACGAGCTTTGTCCAAAATCTGTGGCATTAATTTACACAGGGTTCATAGCCACATTTTAGTTAAAAAAATAAGCACCTATAAGCACTTTTCAAGCACATTTTAAGAAAAAAATAAGCATTATACACAACTGCATAACCTGTCTAATTACATTATACACAACTGCATAACCTTAAAAGAAAAATTAGACTTGTAATTTAAAATATGAGCAATGCAATATTTATTAAGAGAATGAGCATTACCTCAACAATGGAAAACAATTAACTTTTTTTTTTTTAATTTTAAATGACAGTTCAATTTACAGATTAATTTATATGAGAGGGAAAAAAAAAAAAAAAAACTATGCAGAACTTAACTATATTACAAAAATTTAATGATGATATTTCAGTGAAAAATAGAAAATAAATAATAATAAGCCATATAATTGTATTCGTTTGGCACCTAATAATAATACAATTTATTTTTCCACTCATATTAATATTTAAATAATTTAACTTAAATCAAAATTCTGAACATTTTCTAAATTTTCACTGCAAACAATTTTCCCTTAACATATATCCCAAGCAAAGTAATTTTAAGTAAAAAAGAGGCACATTCTGAAATCAGAAGACGGGAAATTGCTTCATTCAGTCATCCTTTAACAGTAAAAGCTTAACTAACCAGCATACTCGGAAATTCCCGAATTTTCCAGATAGTAACTGGAAAAAGAGGAGTGGGGGAGATTGTAGCCGTTCTTTAGATTTAAATTTAGGCTAAATAAATTATTTTGATATTTCGATATGTGCATCATATAAAAACCAACGGAACTGAGAAATATTCTGCTTAGAACGCACAGTAAAACTCTTTTAAGTGTTCATAAACAAATCTCAGACTGACCATCCAAATTAATTACCAATGCAAAATACCGCAAACGTTATTGCGCAATACGTGCAGCGTGATTCTTCCATATGTGATATTACGCAATCGGAATCAACACCTGCCGGTATTCGGAGAAAGAACTAATAAAGGAAAAGAAAGAGACTTACTAATCTGGGGTGTTTCTAATTTTTATTTTCAACAGACTGTATTAAATTTCCGGAAAGAATCAATCTTCGCTTGGGTTGGGTAGACCACAAAAACTTTAGTCCTATTCAATCCAGATTGGACAGTGACAAAAAAAAAAAAAAAAAAAAAAAAAAAAAAAAAAATCCGCTGCTTTTGCGGAGAAACTCCCAACCTCTGTACTGTATAATGTACGGCAAAGAAATGAAATTATTTTGACTATTCGATTACTTTCCTTTTATTTAAGCCATTCCGAATATCATTCCTTAGAAAGCTAATCTGTGTAAAAACACACACCATTTTTGGAAGTTTATCTATACTTCAGCAGTTACTGCATTATATTATTATAAATATTCATACATATGCTCATAATATAAGCATAACAATCATAATAACAAGAATAGAACTGACCACGCGGAACAAGAATGCAAATTTATTAAAATCTTGACAGAAATTCAAACGTGTGTAGTATTTGGGGGAGGAAAAGAATACCGAATGTACCGGAATTTTCTACGTTTTCGCAATTCTTTGGCCAATAGAACGACGTGCACCTGTCTGTACTCTCCCCGCACGCACCATAGGTTACGTTAATGCAGAATAAAGGGGG